TGTCATAAAACAACATGTGTACTTCTGTTTCATGAGAAACTATTTGTTCTGTAAGCCTTCACCTGAAGTACCATAAAAAAAAAAAATTATAGTCCATTCATCTGTTCACTTAGAAAATGAGGAATACAAAGAGAACAAGGCACAACTTTTAACAGCATAGTACTTTTATTATTAAAAGATAATGCCAAAGCATTCATCACAATTTCAAGTAAATGGTGATTTGAAATAAATATAACTACAATAATACATAAAATCTTATTGGCACTCATTCCTACTGCAGCCTCTTCTCCTTGCCCCATCTCTCTTTTCCTCATCCTGCCCATATGGTAGTTTTCCTATTTTTTTTTTTTTTTTTGTCAACTCTTAAAATCGTGAAACACCTTTCTACTACTCAATCTCTACACATAAGCTCAGCCTTGTTCTTTTGACAGTTACAGCCATACATGTACGTTTTATTTTGTGTTAGAGTTCTTGAAATAGGAGCAAACTTAAAATTAAAAAATATATTTTACATATATTGTGTTAGCACTTCTCAACAGAGTAAAGATAATCACTGAATCACATTTCTTCCAGTGTAGGTTCCCAGGTGATGGATTATTTTAAATTATAATATTTCCCTGCTTAACTGCCTAAACTGGTATGTTTTCACAGTATTTTTTACGTTTGTAAGAAATTTATTATTTAAAACAGTAGTACAAGAAACATGTACTAAAAAATTAAGTTTTTTATTGTTCAAATGTGAACAGGTTAAATTAATATTGAAGTATTTTATTTCTCAGAAATGTTTTTAAAAATGTAGCCTTAAGAGGATATTGGTGACTCCCTGCCTCTTCTTTGGTTTTATATGCTATTCGGTTTGGCTATGGTACTAAATAGTTGGGTAAATAGAACCTTGCTAGGCTTCCCTCTTGCACTGTAAAAGTTTCAACATACTTATGCACGTAATTATCCTGTCTTCGGAGAATTTCAAACATGCTGTTTTTCATTTGTTGTAGTCAGAAGCCATGCATGTGAAGTGGATCCATATGGAATGCCGGGGGGCTGTTCACACATCTGTCTGCTCAGCAGCAGTTACAAAACACGGACCTGTCGCTGCAGGACTGGCTTCAACTTGGGAAGTGATGGCAGGTCATGCAAAAGTATGTTTCTAAAATCAAACATTTTGCCAGCAGCTACCACTTCAGAGTAGGGTTTTTAGTATTAATTAGCAGCATAAACGTAATAATAACATGAGACTTCATCTACTGAATTTTGCCAGCAAATATGTACCAGCCATTTTTCAAAATCAGTATTTAGTTTCCTTTTGTGATAATGTGAATTGGAAAGCTAATCAATCTGTACAGTCACCAAACTTATGGATCTTAGGGAAACATACTTTAGGGGAGATTTCTAGCAAGAGTCTTTCCTTAATTTCCTAAAGAATGTTTTCAGGCCAATGAGCTAGGATCATTGATTAACCAGATTTTCTCTTGTCCGAACCAAGATGCCACTCCTTGTAATAGGTAGGTGTGTTGTTAAGCCCAGCAGAAATCCATATACAGTAATGCTTCCCTTTGGAGAGTGCAATTCACGTCATAATTTAAT